CCCCTACATCAAATGTGCCAACTCCACCATCCCCTTTCACTTTTTCAAATAAAAAATGGTTTCGTGGATTTTTTCACGAAAATTTTCCAAAAATATTTTTGAATTTTTTATCACATTTTATCTTTTTTGTCTCAAATCTGAAGGAAACCAAAAATTTAAAATTAAATTAAACAGTATGGAACCTGTTTGATAGATGGAAAAATTTGATCAATTTATCAAATTGAAAGTTCTTTGCATTTGCCATTGCGAAGATAAACCCTGAATTGTTGATTAATGAGTTCGTGTTACTGGTTTTGTTTTCAGGGCAATGGGATATGAACTCACATAATCTAGCAATAACCAGTTGTTTTCCCTGTCTACTAGATAAGGACATGACAGGTAGACATTTTATTTAAATAATCTGGTATTTTCATTATTAATTATCTTGATTCCATGTACTCTATAACCCTGCGCTCCAGTTTTAGCCCCATGTAGCATATAATTAACTCCGTTGAATTTAACCCTTCTTACCATATATCCTTGTGTAATATGTACTGTATAACCCCATGTAATATGTAACTCCTGTATGTTGAATTTAACCCTGCTTACAATGTACCCTTCACATTAATATCCCCTGATATAATGCAAATTCTGAATCCAACACGTCTATTTCTATCTATACAGCTTTGTTTTTTGTATCCCAAGTCAAGCTAGGCATTTTTCAATTATCAGTTTTGCATATTACAGGCTTATCACACTAATCTTAATCTGTAACCGGAGATCTAAAGAAGTTGAGCCGCGGTTTAAATCTGCCAAAACCCGGTTTAAATTAAGCGTCGGTTTAAATCTTGAAACATTTGATAAATTTTAAGTGGAACCAATCATATTTAAGCCGCGGCTTAAATTTAAACCGCCGCTCAAATTCTTTAAATTCGGCCACGGGTCATTTAAGCCAACGTACTTTGACCCTTCAACATTCTTTTGCTGATTTAAATTTCACATAAATTCTGAGTGTGAAAGTTTAAACAAACTGGAGTCCAGTCCACTGAGATTGTAAGGGCCCCGCAATATTATTCTAAAATAATTTAGACATATTAAACTGTCGTCATCAAACTTTTGTATTTAACCCGCGCCGCTGAACCGCCAAAAACCGGTTCCAATTGAGCGCCGGCTCAAATATCGAAACTCAGAATACAATTTTAAGTGTAACTAACCATGAATGAGCTGCATCTCAAATTTTAGACGCGGCTCAAATTCTTTAAATTCGGCCTCAGATTTACTATTTTGACAAGACTATTTTTAACCCTATTTATTACAGGTACTGAGGATGCGCAGCGTGTAGAATCTGAAATCTATGATAAACTGTATGGAAACCATTTAACCCTAGTGGGCTGGTACCACTCTAGTCCAAGGGGACCATCTATACCAACGGTTAGTTATTGTTTTGTTAATATTCATGTAAAGAGGGACCAATTCACAAAGGAACCCTTTAAACCTTCGTCTGAGCAAGAGTAATTGGGGGGGGTTAAAGGTCCGGTCTGAATTGGGGTCCCTACAGATTCCATTTCCTTGTGTTCCTTAATGAATTATCACTTTTTTTTTGACTAGAAAGACGTTTTCTTTCTCACTGTTACATAAACGACGAAGATATTAAAGGAACCGTTGTGATTTAAACATAAATATTAAAATTGGAAATTATTTGAAATTATGTGGACAGTCTTGTGACGTAATAGCAATTAATTTCAAGGTTATTATTTTTGTAAAATATTTTATGTATGTTTTATATGATTGGTTATTGTCTTGGATCCAAGGATTGATTATTTGATTATTTATTTGATTTTTGGAATATTTGAATATTTGAATATTTAAATATTTGAATATTTGAATATTTGACTATTTGAATATTTGAATATTTGAATATTTGAATATTTGAATATTTGAATATTTGAATATTTGAATATTTGAATATTTGAATATTTGAATATTTGAATATTTGATCAAGTTAAAGACTAAACTGATCATGGATTGATAATTTATTTACTGACTTACTTGATACTTGAGAAGTAATTCTCCATCTTCCAAATAGGAATGTTGAGAATATCTTGATTTCTTCATGTGTGGTCTGCTAAAGATCAGATGTAGCTTCAGTTTTTCTCAAATCAGCAGCCACTCCATTCTCAATGATTCTTATCATAAAGATAAAGATAAAGAGTTAAATCTGATAGCCCCCCCAATATGGGAGACCCAGACCGCCCAAGGGGTTAAGTTGTTTAAACTGAATTGGTATTTTTTGCATGTATAACATCATAGGGTAAAGTATTCCATCGGTCAATAACTCTGTGTGAGAAAAAATTCTTTCTAATCTCCAGTTTAGCAACAGGTTTAACAAGATTAAGACTGTCTTGATTTAATCTTGTGACTTTCTCTCTCAAACCAACAAATTTAAACCAACATTGTCAAATCCATTGAATATCTTAAAAGTTTAAATCATGTCTGCTCTTTTTCTTCTATCCTCAAGTGTTTTGAAGATTCAGCTCCTTGAGTTTTTCTTCATATGTTGATCCCTTTAATCCAGACACAAAGAAGACTGCTCTCATTTGAAGTCTTTCTAAAACATCATAATCTGCTTTAGTCCATTGATTCCAGACACAGGATGCAAACTCAAGATGACAGAGAACATATTGTTTATAGAGTCTGATAATTATTTGATCATCTGATCATTTTGATCATCTGATCGTCTGATTATGTGAATTGATAATTATTTAAATATTTGAATTGATGATTAGTTAATTGTTTGATCAGGTTAAAGACTGCCTGGATCAGCTTGACTTCCAAATAAAACTGCTTGGAAATGGAGTAGAGACCTATACACCATGTGTTGGGCTAATTTGTTCACCATACGAGGCATCTGCTAAAACTGTTGGTAAGTTGTTCTAAGTTAACCTTACAGGGGTGTATGTATACTGTATACAGTACACTGTATACAGTATACATGTTCTCGGAAAATCTTCTAAAAATGCTTTTTTTAGGGTTTTATTTGCTGAACTGGGGGAAATAAAAGAAGTGTTGGGTTAAAAGTGTAAAAAGTTTGACTTTGAAATCTAATTTTTCATGTTATTCTCCCCTAATCAGTCCCTAGCGAACCTTGGATCCGCAACATTTTGGCTTCCTGAATCCGGATACAGAGCGTCCCATATCATATTAGACTTTCTCCAATCTTTAACGCCAAAATATCCATATAATACTTGAAAAAACTAGCATTTTCTGCAAGAAATTTTTTTATTAGCCTTATTAAATTTTTCAAAATCATTCATTCTTCTTAAATTTTCTGATTTGTCCCCCAAATCGTAATTTAGACCCATTGACGCGGTCTAATTTGATGTGGGACACCCAGTACATGGGAAAAATATCAACCAAAAACTACAAAAGAAAAGATATTTTGCTCTCAAAGCTCGAGCTGAACTGCTGAAAAAGAGAAATGTCCTTGTCTCTGAATGGTTTTTCAAGTTGTTGCATAAAGATTAAGCGAAAAAAGAAAGAAAAATAATTAAAAAATTCTTTTTCTGTAAATCCATGTAATAAAACAAGACGTTCGTATATATGCTCGCTCTGGATGGTCGGCCAAACAGTTGGACCGAGCGGGCTGAAATTTTTGTGGACACTCATCGGTAGCCCGGGGGGACGGACAAAAATAAGTAGAATTTTTTTTTCTTCATAATTTATTTTTATATATTTTTTCCCACGAGCAACGCCGGGCCCTTCAGCTATTCCTAAAGAAATGTTCATAACCTGGATCCGGATCCATTTTTTTCTAGTGCGGATCTAGGATCCGGATCGGATCTGCATCAAAATTAAATTGATCCTAAGCACTGCACTGCCCCCACTCCCCCCCCCCAGGCGGGGGGTGGGAGTAATTCGGAAAAATAATACTCCTGTACCCTGCACACAGGGGTTCATTTGCAGCTTTTTTGGTATGTGTAAGACTGCACTTTGCTGCAGAGATTATGGTGCTATTTATTGCAGATTTTTTGGATATAGATTTACGTTTTAATCTTTTTTTCCTATATGAACCCTAATACCAAGATTTTTTATTTTAACTTCCTGCAAGAAGTTTTCTTAGTTAATTAATTTTGGAAACCTGCCTTTCTTTACTTCTATCTCTTGAATTTTTTTCCTGAAGGGAAAATTGAGTAGAGGTTTTGCTTCGATGAAAAAAATTTGATATTTACAAAATAACTTAATCTAATATTATATTAAAATATATATCTGTTTTCTAGTCATTGAAAATTAGAAAATTATTTTATTAATTGTTTGTGCCTAGTTTTGGGATTTAAATTTTTTTTAAATTGAAATATTTTGAAACCGATTTTTATTCAGATTCGTCGATTGTTGTTTACTGGATATATCCCCCTTCGGAACACAATCCACAGGTTAGTCCAAATAGACAAAAATAATTTTAAGAAATTTGGAATAAACGACATCTCTTAGGCTTAATGTGACTGTACATGTTATGTCAAGTAACGGTATCAGACCAAATATATATTTTTACAAAAGATGGCAGTATAGAATTTGTACACTCTCAGTACAGCTATATTCTAACGTCACAAGTGTCAACTTAGTTTTTGTGTCCGATAAAATTATTAATAATAGTGATGATTTTACATACAAGTGCTTGTCTTACAGTGAAATAAGTGCAATTTTATGTGTCCTTTATTTTCTGTTTTTACACTTTTTTATTTAATCTATGAAAACATGTCAACTAATGTGAGAAAATTCGTTTTCTTTGTTATATTTGACACTTGTGACGTTGTGTATAATTGGTTCATTTCTCTATTGCCACCGATTGTACTTGATAATCTATTTGGTATCAGAATATTGTTTTTCTATGTTTCTATGTTAAAGATAGTTTAATTCTTTTGGTTTCATGCTGCATAAATCTTAAGTTCTTTCAGTAGAGAAATCACAAATCAAAATTATCCATTTTCATTTTTCAGATAGAAAAATAAGTACATCTTTATAATTTATGCTCAGGCGAAATTTTAAAGGGTACCATCGTGGATTTTAGATGGAGGATCATTTAAGAATTCTCTAAATTATGGAATGGAATGTTTCCCTTGTAAAGAAATATGGAATGTTATGTTTCCCTTGTAAAGGATTATGAAATGTAATGATTTCCTTGTAAAGTATTATGGAATGAAATGTTTCCCGTGTAAAGGATTATGGAATGGCATGTTTCCCTTGTAAAGGATTATGGAATGGAATGTTTCCCTTGTAAAGGATTATGGAATGGAATGTTTCCCTTGTAAAGGATTATGGAATGGTATGTTTCCCTTGTAAAGGATTATGAAATGGAATGTTCCCCTTGTAAAGGATTATGGAATGTTATGTTTCCCTTGTAAAGGATTATGGAATGTATGTTCCCCTTGTAAAGTATTATGGAATGTATGTTCCCCTTGTAAAGTATTATGGAATGGAATGTTTTCCTTGTAAAGGATTATAATGAATGTTCACATTGTAAATGATTATGGAATGGAATGTTCCCCTTGTAAAGGATTATGAAATGTAATGATTTCCTTGTAAAGTATTATGGAATGAAATGTTTCCCGTGTAAAGGATTATGGAATGGCATGTTTCCCTTGTAAAGGATTATGGAATGTTATGTTTTCCTTGTAAAGGATTATGAAATGTATGTTCCCCTTGTAAAGTATTATGGAATGGAATGTTCCCCTTGTAAAGGATTTTGGAATGTATGTTTCCCTTGTAAAGGATTATGAAATGAATATTTCCCTTGTAAAGGATTATGAAATGTTTGTTTCCCTTGTAAAGGATTATGGAATGGAATGTTTCCCTTGTAAAGGATTATGGAATGGAATGTTTCCCTTTTAAAGGATTATGAAATTGAATGTTTCCCTTGTTAAGGATTATGGAATGTATGTTTCCCTTGTAAAGAATTATGGAATTTATATTAACTTGTAAAGGATTATGGAATGGATTATACCCCTTGTAAAGGATTATGGAATGTATGTGAACTTGTAAAGGATTATGGAATGGAATGTTTCCCTTGTAAAGGATTGTGGAATGGAATGTTCCCCTTGTAAAGTATTATGAAATTGAATGTTTCCCTTGTTAAACATTTTGGAATGTATGTTTCCCTTGTAAAGGATTATGGAATGTTATTTTTTCTTTTGTAAAGGATTATGGAATGTTATTTTTCCCTTGTAAAGGATTATCGAATGTTATTTTTCCTTTTAAAGGATTATGGAATGTTATGTTTCCCTTGTAAAGGATTATGGAATGTTATTTTTCCCTTGTAAAGGATTATGGAATGCCTATGAGGATGTCCTATTCTGCTATAACAGATCCATGTTTATCCCAAGAGGTTCTACAACAGATAGACAAGGTAAAGACATCTTTTCCTTCAAAAAAGTGAAATTTTTATATCATCTTTAAATTCAATCTAAATTCTCAGGCATTCAATTTTTGTAAAGCAAAATTGCTCTAGCTTATCGAGTTTGCTCTAGGCTATAGATTTTACCATTGTTTGCTCTGGGTTATAGATTTCTACTCTATTGTTTTCTCTAGGTTATATATTCATATCATAGTTTGCTTGCTTTAGGTTATATATATTTTTATCATTGTTTGCTCTATGTTACAGATTTCTACCATTGTTTGTTCTAGGTTATAGATTTTTATCATTGTTTGCTCTAGGTTTAAGATTTCTACCAATGTTTGCTCTATGTTATAGATTTCTACCATTGTTTGTACTAGGTTATAGATTTCTACCATTGTTTGTTCTAGGTTATAGATTTTTATCATTGTTTGCTCTAGGTTTAAGATTTCTACCATTGTTTGCTCTAGGTTAAATATTTCTATCATTGTTTGTTCTATGTTATAGATTTCTACCATTGTTTGCTCTTGGTTATAGATTTCTATTATTGTTTGCTCTATATTATAGTTTTCTATCTTTGTTTGCTCTAGGTTATAGATTTCTACAGAGAGAAGCCAAGTGCTGTACCCTTCCTAGAGAACTATACAGCTGATCTCAGATTTATCGATAAAATTGCCAAATCTATCTCTTCAAAGTTTCCACAGGTAAAACCACCGAAAGACAAAATTTTCAAAAAAATGTAAAAACAAAATTTCTTGTAAAACTATGCTGAATTCTCAATGGTCAATCAAATTTCAGGATAAGAAAAAAGTCTTGCTGGAGGATAACAGGGGTATATATTTTCCTGGAAAATCATTTGAATTAAATCAAAATCTAAATGTTTAATGTGTAGGATCAAGATGAGAACTTATGGAACTATATCCGAACCCAGCTGATCGGAGAGGAACCAGATAAATTGATTCATCCATCAAATCCATCCAGCATACCGGCAGCCATTAATGGAAGAAAGCAGAGCGAAGAGGAAGAAATAGATGATGATGAAGAGAGTGCGCTGAAGGTTAGATTATTGGACTCATTTAGTATCAATGTACTTTTTTAGGAGTATTCAGGGGGGCCAAAATGTATGGCTTGTACGGATTGTACGGTTTTTTATGTTTACCAACAAATAGTACGGAATGTACGGATAATGTCCAGGGTGGCCAAAATGTACGGATTGTACGGATTGATTTTTTTTTAACCCTAAAATTGTACGGATTGTACGGATTGTACGGATTGTACGGATTTGTTTTCAAATTGTACGGATTGTACGGATTTTATCCTGGAAAATACACCGTTTTTTTTAAATTTTCACTCATTTCAGCAAATTTTTCATGAAAAAAAAAAAAAAAAATTCTCGTCAAAATGAAGTTAGTTTAACTTATTTTCTGCATTCTAAATAATATTAGATTGATTAATGTTTCAATTGACAATCAAAATTCATTCATAATTTTCGAGATATGTCCAAGAAGTGTTTATTTGAGAATATGTTCCATAAGTACTTATTTGATTGCTTATTCAAGAAGATGTTCCAGTATCCTGTACCCAGTATCCT